GATCAGCCCAACCAGAATATTGAGGACTAGACTTCTTGATTATTCTTTTTGATCATGACGACACCTGTTTTTGTATTTTGAACAAGTATTTTGCTCGATCTTAGTTAATGTTCTTTTTATCGATGTTTATCAACGTATGGGGTGTATGGCTGACGACTTGGGCATCTTGACAATCAGGACAAATTTAAATAGCTCACTTTTAAGACGAATAATGGATGACTCGACGCTTAAGATGAAATAATAACTCGACGCCCAAAATATTTTAAACAGCTCGACGCCTAAAATGTATTAATATCTCGACTCCTAAGATGAATTAACAACTCGACGCCTAGATTAATTAAATATCTCGACGCCTAAGATGAGTTAACAACTCGACGCCTAAGATGAATTAATAACTCGACGCCTAGATTAATTAAATATCTGGACACCTAAGATGAGTTAACAACTCGACGCCTAGATTAATTAAATATCTCGACGCCTAAATGAAGTTTTAGCCTTGACGTACTTATTCATCGACGACGAAGATTTATTGTTGTCATGCTCGGCCAATATGACTCTCTTGAGAACTAAATTTCACAATCATTTTCAAAATTGTGTTTAGCTCGAGCATGTATACAAGTTATCTCGAGGACTTAATTTTGTAAAATCAATTTTTGACATTATGTATTGGGCTCGAGCATATTATACCTGTTTATCCCGGGGACTGAATGACAATGTAATTGTATTGACCTATACTGTGATTCCCGAGAACAATAATGGCCTTTTTATAAGATCTATCACGTCGTTGATTGGGCACTGTGTGCTCGGGAATGTTACTTGTAAGTGTGTTCGTGGTTTAGCTTTTTTGATTGCTTGCTTGGGGCAAGGCTCGACTTGGTTGCGCAGGGCAATGTTTTTTTTTTTTTTTTTGCTTGCGCAGAGCAAGGCTTTTTGATTGTTTGCGCAGGGCAAGGCTTTCTATAGCTAAATCATATTTTGACGAATAACTTAATTCTTATTATACTTTAAAAATGGACTTGGCACGCAGGCCTGACAACTAAAAACGTGAACCTTGGCACGTAGGCTTGACTACCAAAAAATAAAACTTGGCACGCAGGCCTGAGAATACAAAACGTGAACCATGACGTGCAGGCCTGACTACTGATAACTGGAAGACCAAGTTACTTGTAATATATCTTTAAATTTTCGGCGTTCCATGGTCTTGGAAGTGGTCTTCCTGATGTATCCCTTAAACTGTTTGCGCCTCCTTGGAGCTGTCGTATGACTTCAAAGGGCCCTTCCCAGACTGGTCCTAGCTTGCCCGGGGCATGACTTGCTGCTTCAGCCCTTCTTAACACAAGTTCTCCAACTCTGAATCTCCGCGTCCTCACTTTTTATTGAAGTACTTTGCTGTTTTATCTTGGTAGGAGGTCATTCTTAAAGTTACCCGATCACGAACTTCTTCCAAGAGGTCGAGGTGTTCAGTGGTGCGCCCTGCATCTTCAGGCTCAAGCCTTCTTTGGCTGGGCAACCTGACTTCAACAGGGATGGTGGCCTCAATACCAAAAGCCAACATGAAGGGGGTTTCCCCCGTAGCAGTTCTGTGGGACGTTCTATACGTCCAAAGTATGGAAGGTAACTCGTCAGACCAGAAACCTCTTGCATCCCCAATCCTTGTACGGAGGTCTTGCAATATAATCCGATTGGTCACTTCAGCGAGACCATTACTTGGATGATGGGAAATCGACGTCAAATGGTGATCAATCCCTAGGTTGGAACAGAAGTTTTTAAATTGTGCATGTCAAACTACCTGCCATTATCAGTTATGAGGACTTTCGTATCTCGAACCTGCATATGACGGATCTCCAAATGAAACTTCTTAACTTCGGCTCTGAAATTGTTGCTAAAGGCTCGGCCTCCACCCACTTAGTGAAATACTCTATAGCCACAACCACAAACTTCAATTGCCCCCTAGTTATTGGAAAGGGACCAAGGATGTCGATTCCCTACTGCTCAAATGGGGCTATGCAATTAATGCTAGTGAGTCCTCTGCTGGAGGGTGGATGACATTGCCAAATCTTTAGCACTTGTCACACTTCTTAACATATTCCTGGGCGTCTTTCTTCATGGTTGGCCAATAATATCCATACTTTATGAGCTTGAAGGCTAATGCCTGAGCTTCTTGATGGTTCCCACATACTCCTTCATGAACTTCTTCTAGGGCCTGGGATGATTCGGAAGGCCTAAGGCATCTGAGGTATGGAAGTGTGAGGCTCCTACGAAATAAAACTCCTTCAATCATGCAATACCTCGGAGCTTTAGACCGGATGCTTCTTGATGCTCGAGGATCATCTGGAAGACTGCCATATTTTATGAAGTCCACTATTGGATCCATCCACGATGGCTCATTATCAATATCCATGACGTCTATGGTTTGGTTGATGCTTGGCTCGGTTACAATTCTAATGTGGCTGTCTTGTCAAGCCCATCTATTCCCCTAAACACCAATCTTGACAAGGCATTGGCCTTACAATTCTCAACCCGAGAAATTTTCACAATTTCACAACTTTTGAACTTTCTCTGGAGATCATGCACTTTCAAGCAGTATAAGCTCATCTTCTCGTCCTTCATTTCGAACGTCCCTTCGATTTGTCCAACCACCAACTGGGAATCACTGGAAATTTTGATATTTTCAAGCTCGAGATTTATGGCGAGTTCCATGGCTATGATGACGGCCATACTCTGCCTCATTATTGGTCGCCTCAAATTCGCACTTGAGTGCGCATTGAATGTTTATGAGCATGTCCGGGCTTATGATTAGCCTGCGCCCGAGCCCGAGGAGTTTGATGCTCCATCTACGAAAATTTCCCACACACCTGTGGTCGAGCTCGAGCTACCATCTAGCCCCCGAGGCCTTGGGGTGAGTTCTGCAATGAAGGCAGCTAAGGCCTGAGCTTTGATAGATGGACGGGGCTTGAACTCTATATCAAATTCTCCGAGTTCAATTGCCCACCTCAGTAATCTTCCTAAGACGCTGGTTTCTAAAGAATGTGTTTTAGAGGCTGATTGGTGAGCACTACAATAGGATGTGACTGAAAATATTGCCGAAGTTTTCGTGCTGCCACTATCAGTGCAAAGACAAGCAGTTCTGCCAAAGTGTATCTTGTTTCTGCATCAAGTAGGACTTTACTTACGTAATAAATGGGTTGCTGGGCCCTGTTAACCTCTTTCACCAAGACAACACTCACTGCATTCTGAGATACAACTAAGTATAAATACAGAGTATCCCCGGGCTTGGGTTTGGTAAGGATAGGAGAAGATTCCAATGTCTGCTTGAGCTCCTGAAAAGCCTTCTCGCACTCATCATTCCATTCAAAGCAATGATTACCCCTGAGGGCTTTGAAGAAGGGGAAGCACCTGTCTGCTGCTCGGGACATGAACCTATTTCAGGCAGCTACCCTGTCTGTCAACTTTTGAACCTTTTTATTGGTCCTTGGTGATTCCATTGTTGTTAGAACTTAAATCTTGTCGGGTTGGTCTCAATCCCCCGATGAGTGATCATAAAACCCAGAAACTTTCCTGAAACTATGCCGAATACACACTTCTCCGGGTTGAGCTTTATCTTATATTTTCGTAGGATGACGAACACCTCCTCTAGGTCGGATATGTGTTCCTCCACCCTCTTACTCTTTACAACCATGTCGTCCACATAGGCCTCGATGTTCTTCCCTATCAAATCGACGAAGACTTTGTTGATGAGCCTCTGATATGTCGCCCCAGCATTTTTCAATCCAAATGGCATCACCCTATAACAATATATGGCTGAATTAGCCATGAATGAAGTCTTTTATTGGTCTTCTTTGGCCATGAGGATTTGATGATACCTTGAGAATGCATCTAAGAAGCTGTACAGCTTATGTCCTAATGTGTTATCCACAAAATTATCAATCCTTGGTAGCGAGTAGCTGTCCTTTGGGCACGCCTTATTAAGATCTGTGAAGTCAATGCAAACTGACTCTTCCTTTGCTTAACAGGTTTGGCCCCTGTGCTGATATTGAGTTTATGGACAGCTACTTCTGGGTCTATCCCTGGCATATCCTCCACCTTCCATGCAAAAACATCAATGTTGCGTGACAAACAATTGATGACTTCCTCCCGGAGGTTGGCCATGAGATCCCGACCAATAGTAACGGCTTTTCCATGCTTGAGCTCGACCACTTCCAATTCCTCAATGGGGGCCAATCTATCCCTTGGCTCAAGCTCGAGCTCGAGCTCTGCGAGTTGCATGATGTCAGCACTCATTCCTCGGATGCTAGTAACATTACACTGTCTAGCTGTTGTTTGGTCTCCTCGAACTACTCCGATGCCATGACCTGTGGGGAACTTCATGGCGAGGTGGAAAGTTGACACAATAGCCTGGATCTTGTTCAGTAGGGGTCTTCCCAGAATGATGTTGTAGGCCATTGGGGTATTAACCACTTGGAATGGTGTGATCTCCGTCACTTGTGTACTACCAGTTCCTAATGTAAGCGGAAGCTCGACGATGCCTTCAGAGATAATGACTCCACCACCAAATCCCTGTAGGGGAGTTTTTACTGCTTTGAGCTGTTTGGGAGAGATTCCCATTTTGGCGTAAGCCTCCTGCGAGAGTATGTTTACTGCACTCCCATTATCAACCAGAATCCTCTTTACTTCGAAGTTAGCCACAACCACAGGACGACCAAGGCATCGTCATGAGGATATGATATTCCTTCCAAATCTCTTGCACCAAAAGTGATGTCTTTGACTTCGTCACGGGATTCTCTTGGGGTATGAGCATGTTGGCGGGCATATTGCTTTCACCCATTACTTATATCTCCATCGAATGCTATGCCCCCAACGATAATATTAATGGTTCCGACGGTGGGTTGAGCATTGCTTCCGGCCCCAGGCTCTTTCCGATTGTCACGGTCATTCCTTGATCGTTTATCATGACCAATGTAATTCTTTAAAAATCCTCTTTTGATAAGGTCTTCAATTTCTCACTGTAAAGCATGACAATCCTCTGTAGTATGCCCCTGATCCCGGTGAAATTCGCAATACTTGCTCCTATCTCTTGTGTCAGGGAGCGACTTCATCCTTGAATGCCACTTTAATTCTTTCATATCCTTAACCTCCATCAAGATGTTTGTCTTAGAGGTGTTCAACCGAGTGAGAGATGCTGACGGTGCCTCATTCCTGCGCTTATCCAGGGGAAGCTCATGCCAAGGAACGAGATCATGTTGCCTCTTGTTCTCGATCTTTTCATGGTAAGGACCAGGTCTCCTTGGATTTAGTGTATCCTCCATATTAATGTCTTTTTCAGCTCGGGTGAGGAGCTCGGTCACTATCTGCGACGGGGTCTTTGATAAAGACATCTTGAAAGCTTCACATCTTATGACGTAAGTGAGGATGGAGACAGCTGCTATGATGTAAAGGTTGGGTATCTGAAACCTTTCCTTGTTGAACCTTGTCATAAATCCTCGTAGAGTTTCAGTTGGTCTCTGGCGAAGTTGCATGAGAGAGGCCGCGGTCTTTCTGATTCGTTTTCTACTTGCAAAGAAGGCTAAGAACTAAACAACCAAATCTGATAATGAAGCTATGGAGTTGGGCTCCAATGTCGAGAACCAATCTCTAGTTGCATTAGTCAGCGTTTGTGGAAAGGCTTTGCACATAACCTGATCCGGCGCAACTTACATGTTCATGACATCAGTGTATACTTTGAGATGGTTGATGGGGTCGGTCGTCCCATCATACTCTTTAATGCGAGAATATTTGAATCTATCGGGCAAGGGATATGACAATATCTCTGGCGTGAATGGAGTGTTAGGGGTGAAACTCGTTGGCCCCCGAGCATTCCGTTGCAGGCCAGCTGTAATTCCTTCTTGGATAATCCGGGCAATTTCACCGAAATCCATGACGACCGATCTCGACCCCGAGGCCATATTGTGAATACACAAGGTTCCTACTCCGCCAGTGCAGGGTTTGGTGGTCGTGCTCGAGCATCAGCCATAAAATCACCATGCTCCGCCTGCGCTCGCGACGGATGTGAATTTCTTTGACTTAAGAGTGTGACCACCTGCTGACGGAGCTCTTCAAATGCTTCGGTTGTGATGACCGCTGGCAGAGGTGCGGGCACTCCTGACAATTCTTCATATGGAGCCAGTTGATCTTCGGCAGGATAAGGGATGGAAGCGAATGAGTTTGTGGGAGGAAGACCTGATCGTGTGTTAACCATGGCTTTTGGCAGCGTTTTCCACAGACGGCGCTAATGATGCTACCAAAAATCGTATCTGTAGATTTCCCAAGCTTGATGATTTGGATTGAGCACGATCGTAGTCTTCCGGTACCTGAAACAAAGGCAACGAGGTATGTTCTCGTCGCCCCTCCGATGCTTAAGTCAGAAAGGGAATTATATGCGTGAAATTATAAAGTGGAGAATAATGAAAAATGTATCTGAATAATGGCTCAAGGTTCTGTATTTATAGTAGTAAGCAATATTCTCCTAGTGGGACTCAACTAGTTTGATGTCATTATTTGTTGGAGTCCTGTACAGTTAAGGAGTTGGTCAAATACCATAATTGTATGTGTGATAGAGTCCTTGCGGGAGTCAAATATATGGTTGAGTTAAAGTCTTAATTGCCTAGGAATTCTAAATGGTCAACGATCGTAGGTTGTGAGGGGAGCATATGCTCGAGGACTACTTATGCTTGAGGACAAGTATCGCAATATGTAAAGTAGCTAGGCAGGAAGTGATCGGGCATGGTATCCCGGGGTGCCATATGCTCGAGCACTCCATATGTGGAATTGCAAGTTCATCTAAAATTGGTCATCGAGATAATATAGTGATCGGGTTACAGGGAATGTCAATATCAAGTAGCATTATTCAATACGAAAACCAGAATTTTTGTCCATACAGATACTTTCAACGCAACACCTGTCAAAACCTCTATTTTGAAACCCCGTTTGAGTAGTATTATTCATTACGAAACCCAGATTTTTTGTCCTCAAAATGAAGTACTGCAATTGTCAAATTGATATCTCACCAGCAAAATGTAGTCCACACATACAAACATCATTAAATAATAAATACATCGACCTCGAAAAGGATGTTCGACCAGCCTGTAATGCAACCACCCCCCTAATCAAATATTCACAGCCGCCATATATGACGAAAATAGTCACAGCTGACAAATAGAAATAAATTCACATTTATAGTGTATTATACATTTAAGAAAGGAAATTTTGGTATAAGTTGACTCTTGATCTTCACAAAATTACCTGCGAGAACAAAATGGCTGAAGAATTGAAGCTTTTCAGGACATGGTCGAGTCCATTTGCTTTGAGGATCGTACATGCACTCAAGATTAAGGGCTTAGAATATGAGACCATTTTCGAAGATCTCAGCAACAAGAGTGATTCACTCCTGCAGTATAATCCCATTCACAAGAAGGTTCCTGTACTTGTGCACAACGGTAAGCCAATCTGTGAATCACTTGTAATTCTCGAGTATGTTGACGAGACATGGAAACAATGTCCTCTTTTGCCAAGAGATCCGTACGAGAAAGCCAAAGCACGATTCTGGGCAAAGTTTGGAGATGATAAGGTATAAAAATCCCTTGCCTTAAAAATGATTTCGACTTTTTCCAGAATGAATTCATTCATACATAGATGTGCTACCCCCCAATACATTTTGACACCTTGGTACATCGACTCTTCTTAGCAATGATATTTTAGCTAAAAAGAGGTGATTTTACCAACGATTCAAAAAGGAATTGTTGGTAGCCAAAGGAACTAGTAAGTTCGGACAATCGATTTGGTCTCTTTCATCCAAAACATGATAATCTACCTTCTCTTGTAGAAAGTAAATTCGAACTTCTCTCAATAACACCCATCATTGTGCAATACAGCTTTTTTCATCAATATGGAATGTTTTTACTACTCAAGGAAAAGAGCAAGAAGAGCCTATTGCTGCAGCTGTCCAGAACCTGAAACCCATTGAAGAGTTGCTGAAAGAAAAGAAATTCTTCGGGGGAGAGACAATCGGATATCTTGACATTGCCTTTGGTTGGACGGCTAATATAATCAGCATCCTGGAAGAGATAATGAATCTGAACTTGGTTGATGAAGAGAAATTTCCACTGCTATCAGCATGGATGCAGAACTTCTCCAATGATCCAGTAATCAAAGAATGCTGGCCGCCACGAGATAAGATGATTGTGAAATTTCAAGTCATGCGTGAAAAATATCTTAAAGCAGTTGTATCTCAATGAATCATGTACCTGATTAATGGAATCAGTAATAATTCCAATAAAAAAAAAAGGGTTTCTTTATAACATCCCAGTATTCTACCATAGTTTTTTTAGATAAGCAGAACCTGCATCCTGTAAAATTAAACTTTGTCCAATTACTTCGGCTGATGAAGGACTCCCGAGAAATGATTTTGGAATTGTTGGCAGAAAAACATATATATTTTATATCAGATCAAACAAAGCAAGACCAAGTGTAGATGTACCAATATGCAGCATCATGTATTTACTGAATTAATTATCATAGTTAACATTTTAATTTTCTGCTCTGTTAAATGAAAATAAAATTCCTACACGATGAACATCTAGATAACCAAATCTCTAGGGAAGGAAATTCATTACTGAAAAAGGCTTTTAGTCCAGGCAACCTTAACAACAAAGCAAACCAACATTCAAATATACGGCTACATATTTCAACCATCTAAGACTAAAAGCAAGATATGTAAATCAGACATTTTCTTTTTAATAAATGAGATTTATTTAAACATTCCACCGTGAAAATATTGTTTATTTTGGGAAATTATTCAAAGAACTCGAGGTTATACGACAATTATGAATTATGCACATAAACATGTTATAGAGAAATATATAATTCAAAGTATATATTGCTAATATGTTGTCCATAATCAATGAATATTTTTGGGCACTATTCTGGAAATCATATTGTTTTTTTTTTTTTTTTTTTTTTTTTTTTTTTTAAAGTTTTCTTTTTTTACC